ATTTCTATTGAAAAACATGGTATCTTACAATGCCTAGTACCCAGGACATAGTTCAATAAATAGTTGTTAAATGAAGGAGTGAAAAGTGCCCATTGGAATTAATTAAAATTGTTCAGTCAACATTTATTAAGAAACATCTATGAGCTAAGTGCAGTCCTTCTGACTCTAGAATTTAATTATTCTATTTATTTTTCTGAAAACTCTTACCTTCCCCAGTACTTACAAGGGTAGCATATAAAAACCCATCTCATCACCTCCTCTGTACAAAACTCCCACCACCACAAAAACACCATCACCAATAATCCACATACACATACTTGCAACCACTCAACCTGCTTTCTCTCTTTTATTTCCATACTTCATCACTTTCTCAGTAACTAGGCTTAAAAATCTCAGAATTTTTTTTAACGATTCCCTCAGAACTCATTAGTTACCAAGCTCCATAGATTTGACCCATGAAACATATCTTGAATTCATCCTTTTTCTTTCCAGTCCTACTGCTACTCCCATAGTTCATGTTCTCATTACTTGTCACCTGATCTAATTCAATAGTCTCCCAGGGTGTCTCTTCACTTTTATTCTCTCCCTCTTCCAATCTACTTTACACACTGCAGCCAGAGTAATTGACCCAAAGGTCAGTTCACTCCCCTACTCAAAATCCTTCAGTGACTCCCCATTTTTAACCAAAAAGAGCAGCAAATCCTCAGTCTGGCATTCAAAGGCCTATATAACCTGGTCCCAATTTATCTTATCTTTTCCAGTCTTATTTTATAGTACTCACCCTCACTGTAGCCAAATTCATTTTATTTTCTTTCCTAGAACTTAACCTTGCACTTTCTTACTTTCATGCTTCACTCATGTTCTTTTTGCAAAGTCTGACCTGCCTTCCTCAGTACGAACCTGCTGTCTGCTCTCACCTCTCTCTATGGGGAGCTTTAAGTCACTCCATGTGGGTGGTTTGACAATTGGAATTGAGAGAATTTTGTAGTTAAGTAATTCACTTCAGAATACCTTGGTTATAGTGTTTCTGGTTTTTCCTTTTGCTTTTAAAATTCCTCTCCTTCTTTCCTTGTTCCATGTTAATTATATATTTTATTTTAGGAGCTATTATGTTTCTATTTCTATTGCATTTCTCTTCCCTATTTCTATTTCTCTTCACTCTTATTTTTGGTTCTTTTCCTTATTAAATTTGTCATTATGGAGTTGCTATATGATAAATAATCCATTAATAGTTTTCTTGAATAAAAAATATATTTAAACCTTAAAGAAATATTCCACTCTCATTTTTTGGTTGGTTGATGATAAAGCACACCAAATGGAGGAATTTCTAATTCAGTCTATTATATTTACTGAGGATAATGTTACCTCCATGCAGGAGACAGTACTGATGCTTATGATATAGCATAGCTAATAAATTCATCTCAACCACCATTTGCCATAGCCCCTTTTAGCTATTATTTGGGTTTCCCCAAAAGGGAATACTGCAAAATATAACTATCAGTTGATAATCTGCATAATTTAGAATATTTGAATTTAAAATTTGGTCAAAATTTAAAAGTAAAAAGAACTTCTACTCTGGCCATAAAAAGTAAATGAGTCAGACATAACTTTCTGTTGTAAACAACTAGAAAACTTAACAAAACATATGAAATAATTGTTCTCAGACATTCAACCACTGGTAGCCCAGAGCTATGATCACTGAAACAAGGAAAATGGCACACACTCTAAATAATTTCCCTGACTTTCTGTTTAAAGGCACAGTCTGGGAAAAGGAAGCCAAGCAAATCATAGCAGCCATGCAAAGTTAAGGAGACAAAGATAAGAGTTCAACAAAGATGAATTTTCTAGAATTTGTGAGGCAAATTAACAGGGAGGAGGGAGCTATGCAAATAAATGGTTCCATATAGCTATGTAGAAACCCTAATTTTATTTATTCCTTTTTTTCTGAATCCCAAGCTGTACACATGTTGCTGTAAGAAGTCTTGATGCTGGGTAAAGAACTATTAAGAAAAGAACTACTATTGAAAATTGTGAACTGAATAATTCTGAAAGCTCACACAGGGTTGGGACATACATAAGTTTTACCAGCCAGGGTAGGGAGAGTTTAATTAACAGTCTGGAGTTTGGGTAGATACCTCAATGCTTAGTTAGTAAAGCTAAACTAGCAATAGAACAGAGTATACTTAGCATGAGAAAACTTAAAAATAAACCTAAAAGGATCAAACTGATCAACAAGACAACTATTTTTCAAAATAATATTCAATATTATTTAAAGAAAACAAAAATCCAGAAACTCAACAATATTAATGTCTAGCATCCAGTAAAAAATTACTAGACATGTGAAGAAGCAAAATAATAAGACCAATACTAAGGAGAAAAGCAATTGAAAAAAAATTCCCAGAATTAACATAGATGATGGAATTAGTACACAAAGACTTTAAAATAGCCCCTATAAATATATTCAAGAATTTAAAGGAAAACATGAATATTACCATGAAAGGAATGGAAGATGTAAAAAATAACACTTATGACACAAAAATAAAATACAGTATCTGAAATGAAGTATTCACAGGACATGCAGAATATCAGATCAAAGATTGTTGAACATGAAGACAAAACAAGAGAAACTATGCAAAATGAAGGAGAGAGGAATAAAAGTAAAAAAAAAAAAAA